TCTTTTCAGTTCAAATAGTTTTAGCTTCATATATATATCTTGCAGCTTTGTTGTTTGGTACATTTAGGATTGTTAGATTTTCCTGGTGGATTAACTCTTTTATATAATGTTTTTATCTGTCATTAGTAATTTTCTGAGGTGGAGGAAATGCTGTAGTGCATTCGGGCTAGAGAGAGCTTATCTCCTCCCAATGTGTTTGTAAATAAAAGAACTAGAATTGAAGAGTTTGGATGTTAATGAAAACTTGAAAGATGGTCAAAATAGCATAAATGAGAAAATTAAGTTGCCCTTTGTTGATTTCATTTCTTTTACAGGTTTTTATGTAAGCAAAGCAAAATATCTAGGAAAACTTGAAGGTATGGGACCAAAAAAAGTAACGTTCAATGTTTGTTATAAATAAAGCAGCAGTAAAATTTTTTGTATATATATCTTAGCATCCTTCTATTTCTGCAGGATAAAGGTCTAGATATAGAATTGCTGGGTCAAAGATTATACTTTAAAAAAAAATGAGAATGTGAGGTCAAATCAAAGTATTTGAAATCCTTTGCTTAATTGGTAAGATAGCCTTTTCCTTAATTGATATTTCTTCCTTATACTGAAACCTGTCTTTTTTTTTTTTTTTTTAAGATGTATCAAATGGCATTTCTAGTATCATGGTGGAGAGATCATTAGGTTTCTTTGTTTTTTATTTTTAAAGGTGTTATTTTTTTAACTTGATTTTTCATTTTTAAAAAGTCTTTTATTAAAATATAGTACACATTAAGAAAAGTATACAAACCATAAATGTAAGCTTGATGAATTATCATTACGTGGATATATCCATGTAGCCATTACTCATGTCAAAAAAGAAAACATGACCAGTGCCTCCCATAATCTCTCTCATGCTTGCTCCCAGTCACACAATTTCTCCCCACCTCTAATATAAACAATAAGTTGACTTTCTACACCGTAGATTAGTTTTTTAAAATATTAACCATAATTTATATGAGTATGTGTTTTGTATGTATCTGGCTTCTTTATTTCTGTATTGTTTGTGAAATTCATCTCTGTTGTAGCATTAGTAGTTTGTTGATTTTCATTGCTGTGTCATATTACATTTTTTAATATGCCACAATTTATGCATTCTCTATTCAAGTATTACAAATGTTGTGTTCCACTCTGTGACTTGTCTTTTCACACTCTTAATGGTGTCGTTGGGAACAGTAGTTGCTACTTTTAATGTAGTCCAATTTATAGATCTTTCTGTGACCTTTTAAAGAAATCTTTGCTTACCATGAAGCCACAAAGACATTCTTGAACTTTTAAGGCTTCTGTTTTTGTATATAAACAATATTACATTGAATAAATTTATTCTTCATACTTTGTAAAACAGAATTTTACTGAAAAAGTAGATGTTGAATTTTATCAGATGCCTTTTCAGTAGCAACTAAACTTGTTATTTGATTTTTTTTTCTGTATGTATTTAATCTTGTATTTAATTATGTTGTAGTTTTCCTTTATCTGAAGCCCATTCCTGGGATGGACTCTTCTTAATCATAGTAGATAGCTAAAAAATGTTACGGTCTCTTTTCTAAGATTTTATGCAGGAGTTTTCATTTGTTCTTATTAAATGAGGTTAGTTTGTAATTTAATTTTTTTTGTGTGTGGTGCTTTTAACTGTTCTGCAGTTGAAGCCACCTCTACATTCTTTTCTGTTCTTTGAAGTGTTTATTACTTGATAAATTTTCTCATTCTCTTTGTTTTATGTTTATCTTTTTTTATCTTTTGTTTTATCTATTTTGATTTGTCATATTTTCACATAGCTACATATCTTAATTCCAAATATATCAGTAAATAATAGAGAATAACTTACCAGAAAAGCTTCTAATCTTTTATTACATTATTGTTTATTTCTGATTTTATTAATTCACATCTTATTTTCTTTTAAAAATGAAAGAGACAGTTGATTTGTGTTGAATTTTCTCAATGAATTAGCACATATATTTAAAAACCTCATTAATTTTAAGTCTGCATAGTGTTCTGATATATAGGTGTGCCATAATTTAATCAGACTAGTACTTAAGTTATTAATACCATTAAGTTGAAACTGTAACTTTTGAGCTTTGCTTCTTGTTTTAAAGTATAGATCTTTAGATTGTATTTCTTCTCTTACTCCTCTTCTTTGAGACTTGGTTTTGTTTTTCTTAGTGAGTAATGTGTCAGGCTGATTTCTGTGACACCCTTATAGGAGTTACCGGCCCTTTTAAAGAAATGAACTCACTTCTTTGGGGGGATAGGGAAAGGAGAGCATTAGGCAGTGGAGATGATATTTAAGGAATCCTGAGACGAAAAGTCCTAACAGTACAAAGTTGTTTAAAATGTGAAATATAATAACATAAGAAATGCGTAAGACATAAAAGTAGTACTTAAAGGATTATAAAATGAACACCTGTGTGACCCCATCTAGGTCAAGAAATAGAACATTTCCTGCCTGCACCTATGGGGCCTCTTCCATTTATAGCTCCCTTCCATGCCCCTAGTGGTGACCACTTTCCTGACCTTTGTGACATTCATGTTAATTGTCTTTATAACCTAGTTGTGCATTTCTAAGCAAGGTAGTAAAATTGTGCTTGTTTTTGGAACTTTCCCCTAATATTTTTAGATATCTAAAATTTTATACCCCCCAGGAACAGCCTTAAAGAAGAAGAGTCACAGAGAGGATGTGTGGGAAGTGAAGGGGCAAGGAATCCTATACATCTTGTCTTAATGAAGCTTGGGGAACTTCAGTCTTACTATCATTGGTTGAACTTGAGATCTTTTTTGTACCAGGTGATGGAGCTGTATCTTCACTGTTGCCAGGATTCTGGAACTAACTCTGTATTTGATTCTTTGAAGTACAACTTCCGAAGCACTTATTAGCTGTGACTAGGGTATGGTCCTACCTGGAGGTCTCTGTGTACCCATTGTTTTCCTACTTGTGTTCCTTTGCTGGTCATTTTTAACTGTATTCATGCTTAAGAGCCTCTGTGGATTACCAAAAAAGAATTTCATTTTTAAAGTCATGCTTTTTTTTCCCTTTCCTCATCTGTGAAAGCTATGGAGTTTAATTTTGGGCTTTATTCAGAAACGCGTGTTCCTCTCTCATTCAAGCACTTCAAAAGCTTGTACCAATCAAGGGTTTTCCTTTTTTGTGCCAAGTGCCTTGCAGTTTTCTGTAAACATAAGTATAAAGTAGCATTATGGTATGGATCATGTCTGATTTCTAAAACATAGATTATTCTATATAAAAAGACTAGAAGTAATTTCTAGTTAAGTTTTGTAGTTGAGGTCCTTTCAAACTTTTATTATGCTACTTACCCCACAACCTAACACACACACAAATATATGTAAAACTGAACTAAAGTTTCATGAACAGTACCTTTACTATGTATAGTTACTCTGATATCATTTATTCTGTTCTGATTTCCTTAAAAATAAATGTTGACTGAGGACCCATTAAATTGTGTGTAGGATCCTTCATTAGGTCACTGCCTGCAGCTTAAAAATACCATGATTTTTGAGAGAAAGAGGTTGGTTCTGAGGGATTAAACTGAGTTAGGCAAACTAGTTTCGTGGTGTGCTTAAGAGCCTGGACTTTGGAGGACAAATGGACTTGGGCTCAGTTCTTGGCTCTGTCATTTGCCATTCACAAGCTAGTAGGCATTCTTGAGCTTAAGCCTTCTATAAAATGGGAATGGCACTTCCTGCCTTGGGGTTTTGAGAATTAAAGGAGAGAATGTATGGCTGTAAGCTAAGCATTAATACACACCTGTTATTAACCATCATTAGCCGTTGTTACTTGTTTCTGGACATGATGGAGTTTTTCTGACTTGTAGCCCAATGGTCTTTGTTCAGATTGCAGAATCTACTAATGATGGGAGTTATGGGACAGTGTTAAATAATGGAACAGGTGGATGGGAATTGCTTAGTTAATCTGCTCACCTTTTGGGATCAGTTCAGGTGACTGCTGGGGTCTGTGCTTGCAAACACTGCTAGTTTGTTATAGGAGTGGGAACTGCATAAAAGTGTCAGGCAGTCACAATGCATTCAGTGCAGAAGAGTTGGTTCTTCCTGTCCTTGTTCATGGGTAGGAGGTTGAAGCTAAAGTGCGTGCCTGCGTGTGTTTGTGTGTGGTTGTGTGTGTGTAAGATCACCTCAGGGCAAGGTCAGAGGACATTCTTTCCTGAGTCTTCACTCTACCACCTTCTATATTTCACGTTTAAAATCAGTTCCTGCCCTCCCTACCCCCTTTTTAAAGAATGACCAGCTTTTATCTGTTTATTTAAGGGAATTGAAACTAATTTGAACATTAAAATTTAAACAAGAAAATTAAATTCATATAAAGTCCTACCATGAAGAGAAATCCATTTATTAACATTTGGTGTTTTTCCTTCCAGTCTTTTCTCATGCATTTAAAAAAGGTAGTAATAATACTGTGCATTCAGGCACCTTTATAAATGAACTGGTTCTACAGCTCTAGATCAGTAAAATGGTAGAGAAGGGGAGAATGGACACTTTGTTGAATGGGAGAGACAGTGACTTCTTACTATCTCCAACACTGAAGGGTGGCCCTCAATTTAAATTGCCCTCTCAGGTATTTTGGAATAGGTAAGAATTTGACTTTAAAACTCTTCCTTACTTTCTGTTATTTCTCCCTTATTTGGCATGTGCTCCTTAAGTCAGAAAAATAGGTCTTATGCTGCTGAAATTAATATTCCTTTAGATTACTGGTAGAGTTGCTATTTTTTGTGGAATATGAAAGCTGGATTGTTTCTAACAGTTCTACTAAACATATATATGCTAGTCAGTGCTTTTCAACTGGTTCAGGTTCCTCAGCCAGTGATCCCACCCAGGTCCTGAGAAAAACCCAGGCGTGATGCAGGAAGTAACTTACCCCTCCACGGCAGTACATGTATAGGAGGTGCCTCTGAAAATGGTGACCTAACACGAGGCCATAGATTTTTTTCCATTTTTTTCCACAGATTTTGAAGCCAGCTTCATAAGGCTGTTGGACAAAATAACAAATGGTTCTCGAATTGAAATAAATCAAACAGGTAAGCTCCTTTCTTCTCATTCCTGAAAGCACCAACATATGTACTACTTAAACATTCCTGTTTCTCACTCTGTTTGATGGTATAAATATTCTATTCAGATGGAAAAACCCAGTTTCCTGTCTGTGATTCAATTGTTTGGAGATATGTGTGAAATCTGCCAATTTAAGACTGAAATTTTCAGATCGACGAACAAGCACCTCCTCTTTTTTAACAATGAAAATATTTTATACCAACATTTATATACAACTTTTCAAAGTCCATTTACTTATATCGTCACAATAAAACCTTACAACAAACTCTGAGGTAGTTGTATGTGTTGAATTTTACTTTTTTAATTTGTCTTTTAAAATAAATTTATACAAGTCTATGCAAAAAATGTGAAAGTCCCTTTACCACTTTGTTTTTTCATTCCGTCCCCCAGGTGCAGCCAGCTTGGGGTACGTGCTCTTGTCTCTTCTACATGTATTTGCTTACATGGGCACCTCTGTATCTCAGACCATCATCAGGGTCATGCATGCTCTTCATATGTTCTGCAGCCAGCTTTTTTTCACTAGCACAGATGTCTGGGAATACTTTACCTGTCTGTCCCATGCAGGTCCATCTTAGTATTTTAATGGGCCTAATATAGTATTCTGTTGTATGGATGTAAGATAATTTATTTAACTGCTCCACTGATGAACATTCAGGTTGTTTTTAAGTTTTTGTTTGCTGTTAGAAACTCTTTTATCTAAAAAAGACCATAGCAGACATCCTTCGGCAGGCTCCATAAACTATGAACCTTTTCACATATATGCAACAAAAGAAACTGCACTTTCCTATATGTTGACTCTTTTAAGAGAGGAGACAAGCTTGGCTTCGTAAGTAGCTTGGCACCACATGAACCTTGATCTGTAGCTGCATTCAGCCATACCTTACAAAGAACAGGAAGGCATGAGCATTCAGATGCCCTTTGCAAGCTGTGATTCCCTTGGTCTTCCTTGGCTTTACTCTGCAATTGCTGGAGAGTTTTTCAAAAGTTTATATTGGTAATTCAGTGGGCAAGTAATTCTATTCTTTTCTAGTCACATATGTAGGTTAGGTTGGAAGTCAGACATTGACATGATTCTGCTTCCATCTCATATCTCCCCCTTCCCCCAACACACACACACACACACACACACGTAGAATACGTCATTCTGATGATCTGGTCAATTTCTTATTTGGTTAATTTGCAGGCATAAATGGATTTGCAGAGTTTAGTAGTTATATAGATGTTTTGTTTTGTTTTTTTTTTCTTTTTTTGGCTTTTTAACCTAAAGGATTGGTTTTACGACTCATTAATAGTATTTAGAATAACTAATGTAGAATATTTCTCTTTTAAAAGTGTGAGAAGAGTATGATTCTAATTGTGGATATTGAGATTTTGGGTTTTAATATAGTAAAATCTAAATTTATTCTATGAAATTTCCAAGAGCTGCTTTCCTTTTGAGTGAGTGAACATATCTCCTTCCTCTAATGTTAAATTTATTTATTGATAAATTGTGTGAAAATACATTGCAAAATACCTAAGCAGTAAAAATTCCTTGTTCACCCATTTATACTCCCCAGATCATCTAGAGTATCTTACTTTGTTTTTCCTCTAATATGTAAATCTAGTAAGAAACTTTTCAGATGATATAAATATGTGAAAAAGTGAATAAAGATAATAAAAAGTTTCCACTAAAGCTGTGAAATAAATGTAGATATTTCTATTTATTACTATTAAATGAAAATAGCTACTATTAATGGAATTAGCGTAAAGTATTTGCCTTTTCTAGGCATCTTGTTTGGTGAGTGTGGTATATGGGAAATCTCATTTCAAGGGCCTAAAAAAAAGCTGATTGCTGGTGTGATGATTTCAGCACATCATTTGTAAACCCTCCCACCCGGTCCCTCCCATCAGCGTGGTCAGAGTGTGCTGTTAGGAGACTAAGATGTCATTAGGATCTCTGTACTCTGCCACGACTTTGGCAATTCAAATGGGTTAGGGAGGGGCTTAATTTATTACTGTTTATTAAATTACACTCATAGTTTATTATTATTACAGGTGCTTGGCAATAATGAGTCAGCTTTTGGAGTGAAGCATGAGCTGTTAGGAATGGCATTTTGAACTCTCTTGGATGCCCTTGTCAGACTTTCTCCTCGGGACTCACTGCCTTTGCTTTGTGACACTGAGTTTTTATGTTTTG